CCTGATCGCTCTGCTCCCGGGAGTTCTGGAGAGAGTGCGCCGGGACGGAGTCCGTCTACTGTTAGTAGCCCCATTCTGGCCGGGCCGAGTATGGTTCTCAGACCTGATTTCCCTTCTCGACGGCTCTCCATGGGAGATTCCCGTCAGGAGGGACCTCCTCTCACAGGCGGAGGGCACGATATTTCACCCCCGCCCGGAGCTGTGGAAGTTATGGCTGTGGCCCCTGAGGGGGCACAGCTAGTAGCTTCCGGTCTCTCAACTGAGGTTGTTGAGACCATCCTCCAATCCAGAGCTCCCTCCACGAGGAAACTGTACGCATGGAAGTGGAAACTTTTCACTTCCTGGTGTAGAGACCGCCAGCTTGACCCAGCTAGCTGCCCAGTCGGTACAGTACTGGAGTTCCTGCAGGCCCGTTTCTCTACAGGGTTAACCCACTCCACCCTGAAGGTCTACATGGCGGCCATTGCGGCCTACCACGCCCCTCTCGGTGGCCAGTCAGTGGTAAGACATCCCCTGGTAACACGTTTCCTCAGTGATGCGCTGAGGCCTCTCGTACGATCTCGCGTCCCCACGTGGGACCTGGCAGTGGTGCTAGAAGCTCTCTGTAAGCCTCCATTCGAACCTATCAAACTAGGGGTCAAGGCTCACTCCACTCGAAGTGTGGCGGCCTCAAAGTCCTTTTTAGCAGGTGTCTCTATGCAGGACATCTGCAACGCTGCGGGTTGGTCCACGCCCATTACCTTCGTCAGATTCTACGGTCTAGACATGCAAGCCCTCCTGGTTCTTCTGTTCTCTCGCCTTGGTGGGACGCTGCGTCTTGGTGCCATACTTCCGGAATCCCTGCCAGCGCTTGCTTCATTCCTGAAGCTGTCGCCGGCTCCACCGCACGTGCTTTTATAGCTTCCTGGTCATGACGTCACCCGCCCGTGACGTCTCACCCAGCTATTGGACTGATTTCACATGTGATTTAGAGCGAGGTCACAGAAGCCGTTCCCAAAGCATTCTCCGAAGCAGCGTCTCGTTCCCTCGAGGAACCATGGTTACATACGTAACCTGAGACGTTTTTCATGCACCTGTCAAGTTTGAGATTTTGGGCTTTTGGGTTTTTTCAGACTAGTGGAAAGAAAACATTCAAAAGACACTGTTAAAGGGGTCATTGTCAGGGATTCATCACAGTCACTTCAGTCACCATCCAGGATAATTACCCGATCACAGTCACCTGAGTTCTGATCACCCGCACCTGCTGTC